ATACTCTCTCTCTCTCTCTCTCTCTCTCTCTCTCTCTCTCTCTCTCTCTCTCTCTTCATGTGTATGTATGTATACCCTTATGCGTATGTGTATGCGGCATTAAGGAATGTAGAAGACAAACCTGGGCAAGATCCGGTGTGTTTAATAAGAATAGATATTCCTTGACATTGTTTAGAAATGACTTGACATTGACTGGAATATGTAATTCCGTCACTTCCGCACACTGGCGTATTTCCACCACCGTTCATCGTGCATTCAGCTATCCTCTTCCTGCACTCCTTCTGTAATAAAGAAAAATTGTAATACATTAGATGATAGGCTTGTTCTCTGATAAACTTTTGCTTACCTTCATTTTTGTTACATTAATATCAAATGAATAATGTATTCGCAAATATTGTAATTAAACATATTCATTATAGATTTATTATACAAAATAAGCTATATACCCAATTAGAAAAAATTGTCATTCTTGTAGTGATATATTCAAAAATCTATAATTTTATTAATCGGACGATTGTGGGAGCGCAAGAGAGAGAAAATGTTTAATTTATAGAAATTCATCTAATTACGAATAAAAATGCGGTAACAAAGGGAAAAGAGAAAGAAAAATTGGACTACTCCTGTCAGAAGAATGACGACTTGTAAGTTACAATTTTAATTTTAAAGACAAAGCACATTCTTAAAAGTAAACTGATTGTTGCTCAAGGTGCTGATTTAACGTTAAGCTCTGGCTTACCCTCACTTTTAAAAAACATATTTAGAAAAAAGTAAACCAAATAAAAGCAAATATACCGGAATTCTTTTGCTATTTTCTGCTCTAACATCTTGCAAAAAGAGAGATTACGAAGAAAATTATGTACGTTAAAAGATACAAATAATAGGTGGTATTAGCTTTTGTCCAAGAATAAAGTATACATTAAATTAATCAATTGTTTTCGGCGTTTTTGGAATTAAAATACTCTCTTATTGCTCTCAATATCGTACCGAATTTATTGCGCAATACCTAATTTCCTACGATTTTTAACTTTTCGATGCCTTCTCGTCAGCTTTCTGAAATTAAAGTCCTGCTAAATTCAACTATTATAGCTCTCGCGATTATATGAGAATGCATAGAATATCACATTCTGTATATCACTCTGTATACCGATATTAAGGTCTCATACCTGTACGGAAATCATACCTGCATAAGACACATACCTATCAGTGTGATACAGGTACTTGCGAAACCGGTCCTACCCAGTGTGGAACGGATTATGAGTAGACGAGTGGGTATTCGTATGCCATGTTGCCGTGTGTGTGAAGCTGGCATATTATTTCATGGAAACTCATTAATTATTGAAAGTTCTGCCTTCATTTCTAATAGTTCTAAAGTGACGGATTAAGCAAGTAGTTTTAGTTTCATAAATAAAAAAATGGCTTAGGACAAATTGAGAGACGCCATGGTTCGTAAGCTGCGTCTCAATTTGTCTTAAGGCATTTTCTTTGATTTATGATCAGAACTATTTGTTTAATCCATCAGGCACTGCAGAATTATTAGAATAAAACTCTTAATAATTAATGAGTTTCCACGAAATGATACGCTAGTTTTACACACACCATGTTGCCCGATTGTTTCTCTGAATATAATTCATATCAAAATTTAATAAATATTGGCTCTTATATTTTGCTCTTACAATAAGAAAGAACAAGAAAAATTGTAGAGAAAGTCTGATTATATATTATAAAGTTAAAGTCATTGATATAAAATATGAATTTTTCTTTCTTCTTTTTATCATTCACTAATTATCTATATAACATTCACGAATTTATGCGGAAAATAATAAAAAAATTAAAGTTTCGGAAAATTTAAATTAAAACTCAATTGCTACTTTATTGTGCAGTTTCATTCCTCGCAAATAGGATTAACCGCAACGAAGTTAGCTATGGATATGATATGGTAAAGCTGCAAGTAATCAATGGCGCAGCGTAGCACGATAAGCCGTGTTTATAATTAACTAAAAAAAAATTATGGCGTTCACCGGAACTTTAATCGCAATGTTAGACACGCTGTAAATTTACCTTTCTTCTTTACTCACTGCAAACAAAAGGCCAATTGTATCGTAAGCCGAGATGCCTCAGAGGGATAAAGAGAAACATTTGCATTAAGCGTAAACATCGTTTTCGCGTCTCACGCTAACAATTTAGCAAAGATGGAATAATAGCACAGTTAAATATCTCAGATTTCCAGAAGCACTCTCGAGAAAAGATTCAACTAGACCGTTTATGTAATTAAATATATTTAAATTTTTTTCCTTCTTCTTTTTTTTCTTTATTTCGTACATTGAAAGTTAATAATGCTTTCATACATCAAGTTGAATTTCGACGATGGAATGGGCGCACGTTTAGATATTTATAACTATGTTTGACAATTTGGCATCTTTAGGTGTTTAACACGCGAATAAAAAATAAAATCAGAATATTAATAGTAAGTAAATTAGTTAATAAAAAAATTTTATTTTATATTCCTTACCAACAATCGCTTAACACGCAACACCATACAATCGTACATAAATATTTAAACCCGATGTTGTTAAAATTCGATTCAATCTCATGTATTACTGCATTTTCGATATTCCATATATAACCGAAGATACCCTTTTTCCATTTTAAACTTGTCGCTACAAAAAAGCGTATCTTCAAAAATTCCAAGTTGTATTATCTTCATTTTTGTTTATATTTATCCAACTTGTTATATATACAATCTGATTGTTACAAATATTTAAATTTCAAACATTTGAGCAGTAAGATCCGAGAGAAAACATATTTACAATATTTCTAATGAGTTTCTTTTCTACAGCAATCGTAGGCAAATGAGCAGACGAATCTCCAAAGACTTTAAAGCGTTCTTAAGCGTAAGCGAGTTAATGTTCGGTGATTCCTTCTCTCCACTTGTTTCTGTGGAGTTTTGATGAACTTAATGTGACTGATGTGATGACATAAAAAGAAGCTCCATATTTTTTAAATTAATCTCAACTATATTTTGTGTAACCGAACATTTCTCTATTAATTATCTTCAATAAACTCTTCAATTGCTCTTCAATTAACATTTATTTTTATCCCATGAGAAAAAAAGCATGATAACAATAATATTTTGAAATTACTCCAGTAAAAAAGTTTTGAAAAGGAAAGTAAATAAATACAATGTTATGAATCATCAATACTACTATGTTTGTAACAAAGTGTATGTTTTGTCTGTGCGTTTTATTGTTGCATTATCAACAGTTATCTTTTATAGGGTGCTGCAGGCAATGATGCGACCGAATGATGCTTCCTATGTAGTTAGACAAAGAAATATTGAGGTTAAAAAGGCTAATTCCCAGAGAGAGAGAGAGAGAGAGAGAGAGAAGAGAGAGAGAGAGAGAGAGAGAGAAGAGAAGAGAAAAAGAGAGAGAGAGAGACATCAGCCTATCTTCTTTCAAATATTTCTCTGTTTTTGCAATATTGTATCGTTGATTAATGTGCTTGAGTATTCATTTTCCGGTTCATTGCTTAACTAGATGTTTATTTCTTTAAGATGCTTTTATCTTTGTCTGACAACTCAAGAAACATCACCATTGGATCACTATTGCACGCAGCACTTTAGATAATCGTTGATGATACAATAATGAAACGTACGAATGGAACATGCACTCTGTTACAAACACACAGTAGCGCTTAAGATTCATAATGCTAGAGCAAATTTGCTTACTTTTACCATATTGAACAGTGTTGTCAATGAATTTGTCTTCAATTTTTTTTTAATTTTAAATAAATAATATAAGATTTTGAATATAAAAAAGTTCCGTTTTTAAGAAAATTGTTACAACAATGTATAAATAACTTCAAAGTAACACTTAAATAACATTAAAAATTTCACATTAAAAAAACATCGATATGCCCGTCGTTTAATCGTGACGTCACGTCGTATACAGTAAAATTAAAAAAAAATTTATATTAATAATTCTAGAAATATAAATCAATCATATACGATTGTTACCGTTGTGCTTTCTTATAATGTAAATTTATTTTATTATGTTTATAAACAGGTGATATTTTTAAAACTTTCAATAAATTTTAATTAATTATGATTATATTTATTTTATATTATTTATATTAATTAATGATTTTTTACTCAATTACTACAAATATGCAATATTTCTATATTATGTTTTATGTATTATGTATTTTGAAATATATTCAAGGAACTATTTATTGAATAATCTAAACATTTGAGTATGTACAAAATTAAGATTCCATACTTTTAAAGTTAAATATGGTTAACTCAAAGCTGAATTCTTTGATTGTGAAGATTACATTTCGGATAAATATGAAAAATAAAAAGTATCAAATTCTCATAAGATACGTCAAGTTGATGAATAAATAAAGATTAAAAACAAATTTCGATTACCTTAGCTGATATTACGCTATTAGCTGCTGCATGAATGTCGACAACGAGCAAGAAGAGTAAAACGATGCGTATCGGGAACATCATGCCTTCTTCGGAGTATTTTTTCAATTCGTTTTTTGGAGAATAATGAAACACCGAAGGCACTTATCTGAAAAACACGCCCACACACGACACTATTCGCGTACACACTCACATTTCTATGTTCCGATGACACACATGTCTCTGTCCGTTTGCCTTTTTACTTGGTACGTTTCGCGAAAGTTTTCTGACTGACGACGCGAACTTTTTGGATGGTCAAAATACTTGCAGCTGGGAAAAAAGATCCTTTTAGAAGACGGCATTAAGCGTGACCGACTATAGCAAATGCTGCAGAGCGACTGGCACTTACCATTTGTTTGGCTGCTGGAGCAACCTCTGCTCTAGCCTGATATACGCGGCACTCTGCCACTACGACTGCTGCGTGACTCTTTCAATAATGTGGGGTCCCGATCTTTATCGGGATACAGGGATGCGCACGATACTTTCTGTATACTAAAATGTAAAAATATTGCTTTTAATTTATTAGTGTTTTCAACGATTTGTCTTTAAAAATTAGGAATCATATTAAATTTACATCACCTTAAACGTTTAAAATTTTTCATATCTTTTCGTTTTCAAAACTTAAAACATTCAAAAACGATTGAGAAAATTCTATAATGCAATTCGTAAAATTAATAAAATTACCAATTACTACACCAACTATAACCGGAACAGCAAGCGCTAAATTTCATAACGGGGCTATATTTAAAAAAAAAGCAAGATTTTCAATGGAACAGCTTCTTTTGACATTTTTGGAAATGTGGTCCAGGTAGCATAATTAATAAAATAAAATTTATATATTTATAAAAACAATGTAAATTTTTATGAAAACTTTAAATGCATTTTTCTTAAAATGTCTTTTCTAAGCAGTGGGACTAAATCATTTTATCTCATTTATCAATTTTCTTAAAATTTTACATAGATGTTCTTAATCAAATTCTTTCTGATATCAAGAGTTTTTTTTAAATTTAGTCTGTTGCTTTTTTTCTTCATTAGGAAAAGCTTTTTTTAATAACATTTTTCACTATTTTAGTTGCTTATAATTTTCATAATTTTCTAAAATTCGGAAAACAAGTTGAAATAAGCGAAATACAATTTTAAAGTTTGATTATTTCAGTTGCACTTTGTATATTATTGAAAGATTTTTCATATTTAAATATTCCAAGTATCCCAATAACTTAGAATATAGAAATTGTGCACAAGTTTATATGCAAATATCTAAATAATTAGTGGCAAAAGTATTCTCCAGACTCAAAAAATGCTATGTCTAAAATTCGTATATCGTAATCCTATACGTATGTCCAAAATTATTTTAAAAACCAATAATATAAAAAAATCTAAAAATTAAAAAATTTTTAAATTTTTAAAAATCTTATCTGGAACTTAAATTTAACAAAAACATTTTTTCATTTTTATGCATACAAATTAAAAACTGCTAAGATACCGGGATTTAAGAATATAAAAGTTCAAAGATGTGCTTAATATTCAAAATCTATTTAAAAAAGTAAAATTTATATCTTTAACAGAGAAAATGTTAATTCGATTTAATTATTAATTCTTCTTTTTTTTATATGAGCATAAGCAACCTATAATCAAAACGACCTATAATCAAGAGCGAGGAACTTTACAGTGATTGCGAAGGAATAATATTCTCAATAGATTTAGAGTTGTATATCATTTAAACCAGGACCATGCAACTGATCGCTCTATAAGCAATGCCGGGAGCGGCCGTGAAAAGGCCTTGGAGCAGCAAGTTTGATGGGAAAAGGAGGTATAAGTAGTTGGAAAAAGACAAAAACGCTCACAACCGCTGCTGGTCAGTAAGCGGGAGCAGCGTTGCTCAAATTCAGCCAGTCGTACGGTCCTGATTTAAATATTTATCAAGCAGAAGAAACGGCAAAAATCATTGTAATGATTTGAAAATGTATTTTTATGTAGAACGATGAAAAATAATTATAGCAAACATTTTGAAGAAAAACAGAAACATTTAAAAATGTCACAATTTTTTGTGTCTATCATGTTGAGTTCGCATAATCTTCCGGAATTTCTTCATTCATCTTTTGACTGTAGAAAGTCAAACAACCAGTTTGAAGGAAAAAGTAAAAGCACAAAAAAAAATTAAAATGCTTTATTGTCAAAAATTTTTATATATAAAACAATAAAATTTACGTAAAAACTACATGTTTAAGGATTTCTGAGACACTGGAAATTTATTTTCAAAAAAAATATTATTTCTCTATTATAAGAAAATATTATTATGTTTTATAAAAATATTTTCTTAAATTTCAAAGCTTTAATGTGAAATACATATCGAATGATTTCAAAAACTTACTGTGTTTTACGAAAATTCTATAGATAAAAAATACTTTTTTTTAAATGACAGATATATATAATCAATACTGACGATTAGTGTTCAAATAATGCATACACATGTCGTTAACATTTAAGGGGTTAATCCGCATTTTATAATAAATACCTTATAAGGTTCTGTTTAAATAAAAAGCGTGTGAAATTAGCGAATTACAGAAATTACGTTCGGTGGTTATTTTTATTTCTCTACCCCCCCCTCCCCCTCCTACCGATACTGATGCATAGTATGCCGGATGCTATCAAAGATTCATGAGTCATTGAGGAATTTGAATTCCAAACTGGTTATTTGACTGATGGAATGTAACTTTTAACAACGAATAAATCTAAAATTGCAGATAGCTACGAGTGATCGAAATTCGGAAACATCGATAGATGTTTTGGCAGCCAAAAAATTTTATTAACTTAGAAAATTAACTTTCCGGAGGATTTCGTGTCAATATGATATTGTTATATGTTTAAGAGAATGTATCTACACTTAAAAGTTAAAAATACCTTTATTACAATGGTATTAATTCTTATGGAAAATTGTGCACTGCAACACTCAAGGTAAGCCAATCAACAGTTTAGTCATCCACTCTGGCACATCTGTTCATTCAGGTATGCAACGGTTTTCATCTCTCCTTCGATATTCATTCTTCCTTTTTTCCTCTCGTCGCTTTCCCGCCTGTAAAGATGATTCATCGTTGCTTTAGAGATTCTGGATCAAATGACAAGATTAAATTTCTCTATGTAAACACTTTCACCTTACATTTAGTCGTACTGTAATTATTTCTATATTTTGTTGCAAGTTTAATTGTAAAATTTGTTGCAAAAACCGACTGGCTCTACTTATTCCGAGAGATTTTATACTGAAAATACAAAATGTTTTTTTTTTCAATTTTTTTTCTTTCTCTCGAATTAATAAGCAAGTCATCTCTTTGAAGCTCCACAAATGCATTGCACAGAAAAGTAAAAATGATACATTTATTGTCAACCAAAGACACAGTTGCGCAATAATAATGACTTAATAAAAACTTTTTAACGTTTTACTTTACAATAGTTCCTACAGAATTTTTATTTTATTTTTACTTTATTTTATCCTAATAAATGAAAAAAATAAGATAATGATTTACAAATAAAGTTACTAAAAAACATACCATTAAACTTCTGCTGAATCGCATAATATTTGTTGGAGAACCCGCATTTCATCTTTGAATTTGCGATACTTGTATAATCGCTCTGATGATTTAACAAAAACTTTTTTTTCCAACAATATCACCTTTCCATCTTCTTCTTCTGTCAAATTCCAAATATTATGAAAGTACATCGTTTGAAGAAAATCGTTGGTAAGAATCGAACTGGTCCATACGCATACGTGTACCTATATAGACAGAAATTTTTGTTTTTAGTTATTTTGAATTTTAATTAAAGCTCTTTGAGTAAAACTTGAAGTAAAATATTTTGAATTGTGAGATTGAAAGCGAAAGTGTGATCTTTTAACTGTACATTACATTATGTAAAAACAAAATAAAAATTATAATTCTCATGATGTAAAGTATTATAAGACATGTTTCTCCTTTTTTCCTAATATACTTAAAACAATTTTTAAATAAGATTAACAAAATTGAATTACAAGTAAAAATTAATCATTTAATTTGCAGAAAACCGAGATTTTTACTTACGATATAAATTTTGGAAAATAACCGTTAAAAACGCAATAAGAAATTCCACTGATTAATCTTTAGAATTAAGCCGTTTCCAACATTTTTTATATTTCCAAAGTTTATATCGTACTATCTATTAATTCCACATAAATTCATTTAAATGACTAAACTTATATTTTATTTTAAATAAACTTTAAAAGCTTTCAAATAAGTTATTTAAATGAAAGTTTGCATAAAAATTATAGCATTGCAACAATAAACAATAATTTCTATTCACTCGCAAAACTCGAATCTTATAATAAATGTTCTTAAAGATAAATTTGTGTGTTTAGAAAGATATAAATTTCTTTTTATCATACACAGAATTCTTCGCTTACGTTCATTTTTAAAACTCGTGAACACAATTTCATCGAGTGGAGTATTAAGGCGCAAGTTTTAGAAATATGCTCATTCAAGTTATTTTGGATAGCTTCGTCGTTGAGATAATTGTCCAAATCATCTATCAAAAGTACAGAAGGTACGGCTGCATAGGTGTACAATTTAACAAGTTGTTCCACAAGAGTTTCATAATTCGACAAATATCTGTAAATATGCATATTTATTTATATAATCCCTTAATTTTTTAAAAAATAAAAATAATTTATTATAAATAATAATTTCGATACAAAAATAATTAATTTTATCCATTTAGAATTTTTTGGAATGTTAATTTTTTGGAAAGTTTAAAATTGTGAAATTTTTCTCGATGAAAACAATGTGGCAATTAAAAACTCAAGAAATAAATTGTATATAAAATTTTTTCAGAATTAAAAAAATTTTTAATTAAAGAATTGTGTGGTAATTTAAGAATAGAAAATAGAAAAACCTCAGATATGATTAAAATGAAAACTAGTTAATATTTAACTTAAATGTGATATATAAATATATAATATATATAAATTTTAGAATATAATAAATTTTTTCTCGTTAATTTATTCAATATTTATTTTAACACAAAATTTTAAATTCACACATATATGAGTGTGTGTGTGTGTGTGTGTGTGTGTGTGCGCGCGCGCGTGTGTGTGTATGTGTGTGTGTATTTTTATATATATACCAAAGATGTTGCACGAATCTTACATAAATCTCATTAATTTAAGAGCCGCGACTGTTGGATTACTTCTGTCGTGACAGGTTACTGGCCATCTTTCCAGTGGCTCTGGCGTAATGTACACGACACGTCGTCCTTCCTCCGCCCAATATATTGCAGCCTATACAAAAAATTAATTTTAAAAACTCATAATTCTGATAAAAGGAACTCGCCATAACATTCCAGCCATCGAAATATTCATGATCAGGATTCTCGAGGCAATTCTAAAAGCAGATCTGTAATAATCTATCTACTTATTAATTAATTATGGTCCACCGCAATACTGATTCCGAAAAGACATACTTTAAATAAAATTAATGATTTTTACACATACAATAAAATTTGAATTGATATAATATTATTTTTCAAATATACTGCGTATTTACAAAGATAAATAAATATCTACTTTAGATGGATATTTTCTAATAAACAAAATATTAACAGTACACTAGCCGTTTGGCAAAAGACTCGATTAGAATGTTATAGCAGATTGATATCCATTTCTCAAAAACAAATTTTGCAGAGTATCTAATAATTGTATAATCCAAACGATTACAATAACAGAAATTTTGAATATTATTCAAATTTTTATTAAATATTTTAAAAAAACTTTCAAAATATAGAATAATACAAGTACAAAATAAATAAAAATACTTTAATCATTTTTATAGAATTTATTAGAGCTTGCCAAATTTTCATGATTAATTTTTACAATTAACTTATTTTTATTCATTATGTGCATACCTCAAACATAAAAGACTTGCTCAGTTTTTTCGGACCACATAATAATGTTGTCTTAATATTCTTCGGAAACATAATTTTTATGTAGTGATCTGAAATATGATCTTTGATAAGTGTATTATCTCATATATTATTATTAACATATTTTGAAAGCACAATATAAAACCAATTAAAAATTAGAGAAACTTTTGTAAATAATTATAATTGGAATACATTGTACAAGTAATGTGTGAAAAATTTTTATCACGATTATTTTGTATTTAAGAAAAATTATTTATTCTGGAATTCAAA